ATCATGTGAATGAACATGTGATGCGCGAGACCGCAAAGCAGCAGGGTGTTCGATTGGTGGGGGAGCTGCACCCGTGTGTGGGCTGCGTGGAGGCGGAAGGGCAGGAGGGCCCCGTTGCCCGGGCGAGGCACACCGGCGCGTCGGTACCGTGGACCGCGCTGGATCCCGCGCTCAAGACGGAGCGCAAGTTCGTGCTCGGCATGACCACGGCGTTGGATTCATTCCATGGATGTTATGCAGTCGGACACGGGAGCAATGTGGCTCCACGAGAAATTCATGAGCTCCTCGGAGGAGGCGGAGCAGGCGGATAGGGGTAGCATTGTCAAAGAGTTGTTCCACCTTCAGTTGGAGTTGAAGCTTTGTTGTTGCTGCTGCTGCTGCTAAAACAGCCAGGGTAGTAGGTATTTTCTGCTACGTCAGTAGATGTGTCAGGGTTGATGGATCTTTGACCATCGGTACAAATCGCTCGCTTCTTGGCAATACGGCACGTCCGGCCCGAATCAATCCCACCGGCAGCGTGCTTGTCAGGTTCAGAAATCCCCGAAGACCGTGACACACTTTTTCGCGGTTTGGAGAATAGGGTTTAGGGTTATCGGGTTAGGGAAGCAATTTGCAGCAGCCCAAAATATCTCTCGACGGACATGGCTTTTACGTGTGGATAATAGAACCCGCGTCCTCCCCTTGCCCGTTACTCCTAATGTGCGGTCTTCTTGAAAAAACAAATCTTGTCCAGGCGTACCGCAAGATCAAGGGTCGCGACTTGTCGGTACCGAGCTCTTTCGTGGTGCCGTCCTTCCTCCCGTGGCCGCAGTCGTGCTGGGGGCTCCGGCTGGGAACAGCTCTCGTCGACATTCGCAGCAAGGGCAGGTAATAATATTTAGTCCAAAATGACACGGTAGCTTTCGTCGTGTTATCAAAAGGTTTTCGGCGGAAAAATAGCTGTCCTTGTCGGGCTTCGTTCTTGAAGGACAGTTTTCTTCCACGCTGCTTGCAGAACCTTCCTTGATGCCACTGGGGCATCGTATTTTTTTGCGGTGATTGTGCGCGCGAGACGTTGTAGGGGATGCAAGGGTACTTTGCCACGATGGGGACAAGAGCGGGATCATCCTCTCTGGCCTAGCTACCATTTATCCCGATGTGATCCGCAACGAGTGAGGATGGGAGAACGAAGCAACTTGTTGCTGAGCCCCTTCTTTTTTCTGGCGTGGCGATTGCCTCTCTCGACTACAAGTTACCTTGCAGAGATCGCACACCTCCTAGACAGACTTTCAAGGCTTGATTGCTCCAGGACGAAGAGGATTCGAAAACCGACCGATTAGCCCACCGTTTTGGCCGCCTCTTCATTGTGGGACAATCACGCCTTGCGGTGACTCTCTTGTCGTAAAAGCTTACATTGGTTTCCAAGGGTACCACCCGAAAACTTACCATCGACTTTGGCAGGAACGGTAATGAATGATGAGGGTGAAAACTGCTGTGGAGACGTTGACAACCAGCAGCACAAAAATGGCAACATCGACATGTTCTGTTGCAGGTATCTGAAGGGAGAAGAGAGGCAGCAGAGGCGCATGGAGCTGGAGCGCTTGGGGGTGTTCGCGCAGTCGCGGGTACGTAAACACAATGCTTGCCACGCAGCTAGTGCAGCCTCATAACGGGGAGTCTGAAGCAACACGCTACAGCTCTTCCGGAATTCCACTTCCGTATCTAACGAAACACGCGGGTTTGGCTTCGTTAACTTTTCGATTGAAAAATGCGCTGGGGAAGGAAAGACGATGATCGTGCAAGCGCGTAGTTCGCGTTGTGAGGTTAGGACCTCCGAAGGCTTAGTTTGATACGTGGAAAAATCTTCCAGTACACAAAAAGATAGCTGTTGTAGGGACGTGCGTGTGTTTTCCCAACGACTTCGCTCGCGCTTGCCGGCAAAGGAACCAACTGGCGCAGCTAGCACCTTTGACAAGGCCGAGCTTGGACCGAGAGCCTCCTCCCTCGATCGAAACATGGAACAGCCAGGCAGGCAGGAGGTAGAACATTGTCGAAAGTCGGGGGCATGCGCCCTCCTGGTGCGGCGCGTGCCTCCTTTTATCGTACATCCGTTCAGCTACTGTGTTTGACGCTGCAAGGGCTCTCTCCCTCCCCACCCTCTTCCCCTCCCCTGTTGGGGTAACCCTGCTACCGCCCTTCTCTCGATGGTGCTCTGTTCGGTTCAGGAGGCGATCCTGGCGAACGTGGTCAAGGGGTTACGGACCTATCTCAGTGTGTTCGGGAACACCATGGTCCCGCAGGGGTTCGTAGTCCCAGATGGGGAAGCCTGGCCGGAAGAATGCAGGAAACAAAAGCTGGGTAAGAACTACATTACACAAAAACGTGTTTTCTGTTTCTTTACACACCTCCAATGTTTGCCCTTCGTCCGCGAGCCAGTCTGGTTGAATGTAGCGCGTTTGGTTCTTCTGCTGTGTTCGAAATATGTATTGCAAATCGCCAGTACCCTGGTTGCACCGTTTTTTTCAGTGCTGCCAGAAGCGATCGGTTATCGTTAGCGGTCTTTTTCTCGCGGTGTCTGGGTACTACGAGCGTTGTGGGAGCTCCTGTCGTCGGTGTGGTTCGTTTGTTTGGGAGTGGCAGAACTTTTCGACGTTGGATGGTCAGGCCGTTTTTGGGAAAATAAATACAATCACAGAAAGGCTACCCATTCGAGATATAACCACAGCCGGGAGTCTTAACGGTGAATGGAGGGAAACCGGCTGGGTACTGGGCTTATTTTGAGTCTATTTAAGCCTTACACTGAGAAATTATTTTCATGCCAGCAGGTGCTAATCACTTTAATACTGCATAGGTACATACCACAAGACATTTCCCCCGTAGTTTCCTCTTATCTACTGGGTTAACGACAACATTATCGGGGAGAAACCCTCGGTTATGTCGTGTGTCGTAATATTCTGCCTTCACACAGGAACACGTCGCAGTGCCATTTTTGTTCATTGTTTTGCGGTGCATGACCTCGGCAGTCATATCGCCATGCTCGCGGTTACCAAGGAGACCCTGCTCGAGAGTAGGTGAACGTTGTTGTGCTTTTGGAACAACGAAGGTCCTGCTCTGCGAAGTACCCACTCGCAGGTGTAGCGCCGTTGTGTAGCGGAAGTAAGACCATGTGATGGGTTGAAATTGCAAGGGATGGGACGATACAAAGCCCCGCTCCCTTGTTCGTACCGCCGACCATTGCCCTCCACTTGCTGCCCCCAGGTTCAATGCTCTACGGCCTCCGTAGGAACCCCGAGCGACTGAACCGGCACCCGGAGATACGGGCGGAGATCACCGCGCTAGGATTCAGCTGGAAGGTGCCCAAGAGGGGCCGTCGAAAAAGTACCGCCACCGCTGCTGCCGCCGCCGCCGCCGCTACCTGTGCCGGGGTCGATGGCACGGTGCCGAGAAGTAGAGGCGGCGGCAGGAACGAAGCGCAACGTGGGGAGCCGGGAGGCGCAGCGGCGGCAGCAGCAGCGGTCCTTCGACCACCGCCACCGCCGTCGGATGCCGCTGTTGTTGTATTGGCGGCCGAAGGGGTCGGGCAGGACATCGAACGCCCTTCGCGGTTGGGCGATGGAGCTGGTGGTCGTGGGTTTGATGTTGGGGTTGGTGATGGTGGTACTGTTGTCAGTGATGGTAGGTCTGAAGGTGTTCGTGCCCGAAATCGGGCAGATGGTGAAGATAACACCGCAGGGAAGACGAATAAAGGTAGCGTTGTAGCGAACAGTAGTGCAAGTCGAAGGAATAGGGCGGGTCGACTCCTGTCCCCCGCAGGCTGTTAGAAGAAGGTGGGGAGATGTTGGGAGGGGGAGGGAGGCGGCGTGTGGGCTGTTGGGCCGCTGGGCGCCGGAGCTTAGACTAGCGCACCTCGCTAGAAGCGCCATGTTCGCACAAAGTTTTTGTGGCACGCAATTCGCTGATTGGTCAATGCACCTGCGGCGGAAAATGCATGTAAATTCGTAAAAAAAACAGGGCACGACCCCAAGATCCTTGGTCCACGGGTGGGGTCATCCACGGCCAAACCACATCCGGGCCGGCCGGAATCCTGCGAAAATCAATCGTGTCTTCTGATGATGACCTGTTGTTGTCACCTTGGCTGACTAGGAACTAGAGAGACGGATCCTCTCGGCCGGCCGACCGATCCGATCCGCGTTGTTAGACTAGATTCTTCTTTCTTGAAAAATTACCAGCAGCGGCTGGGTAATATATACGGACGAAGTGACACGCAGTTCGCGGTGTTCCCCGCCACTACAAAATGATGATGGCACGAACGATTGATCCCGCAACCCCGATAGGCAGACAGAAGAAAAAGGGACCCACCATGCACACACACGTGTGGCGGATCTTACATCATCGTCCCTCAAGAGGTAGGCTTGGGTATACAGATTCCTAAGGGTCCTGGTGGCGAAGTTCATGCGCGTTCACATGGCGGGTGGGTTCGGTTCAGACAAAACAAAATGCGAGTGTAGTAAAATTGAATTTGTTGAGGACAGACCTTTGCCGCCGCCATTCATTCGTGTCCATTCTGGTTCCTATGGTATTTTGACGTATGGGATTGCGATGCACCGTAGTATGGTTCAATGGAGGTGGATTAGAAAGGAGAGAATGAGTGTGTGGCGGGTCATAGATAAGGGCTCGCTCCGATCTTGAGCGAGAGAAGTATTTGCCCGAAAGATAGTTGTTTTTTGCGGTATGCACGACAAAGCCTCTTCGACATGCGCTTCTTCGGAGAGGTTTTTGCTAATTGCGGAACCCGCATGCCCGATGGTTGTTTCTGCAGAGTTGCGCAGCTTCATACTTGAATATTCTGCAAGTGTTTTAGATGCCGTTGACGTGGTTTGCCTTTCCGAAGGCATTGATCCGTGTAGATTGTTGGCCTCTTTCGTACGGTTCTTTCAACCAACCGTGTTGCGGCGCAACACCAAACCAAAGCGAGAAGCCGGGAGCGACCAGTCTGGCACTGGTTGGTAGCCGAAATAAGCACCCACGTTGTGCTTGTATATCGCACAAACTTGGCTCAACAGATGTTCTTAAAGCAACGCGGCAGTCGTCGCGCGTGGTGTCTGCCCCTTTTCGACGTGAAAAGACTGTCAAGCTCGATTTCTCGTGGGTTGCTTCGACGTGAGAGCGTGCCGCACTCCACCAGACAACGACACCCTTGATCTTCCAAACGTACTCACATCACGCAGCACATAAGTACAACGCGCACCTTCGCACCACCAATACATCACACACAACACAGCACACACGATGCAAGACGGCTCGGTCTCCGCACACAATGTCAAGTTGGAGTCTCCTGATCGGAGCATTGAGCCGACCGAAAGAAAGAAATGGCGTCGTCCCACAGCTCCAGGGGAAACCTGAGGGAAAGCGTTCGCCAATCGCACGGGGGTGCCACAGTTTGTTGCGAGCCCTTGGTCGTCGTTGCCGCTGCTGCCGCATCTTTATCGCTGCCATTATGCTGTCCTTTGGACTCGCGGGGCGGAGTTACCTGGAATTTGAAAGTAGAAAGCAAGAAAAAAAACAGGTTAAATGTCAAATAGCGAGAGCGCAAAAGGAAACAAGGAAGAGTAATAAACAAAATTAACCCAAGCGGTTTGACTGCCTGTAGTAGCATAAGGCAACGAAAATACGTCAAGACGGCGAAAAGCTCAAGTCCCCGACACCGCCCTAAGCAAAACAACAGAATTCATTCATATGCCTGCGCAAGCTGTACATCCACCGGCCGCAACAGCAAGCAGCACTAGGTACTAACGGGCCCAACTAATATGAAAAAAAGCCGAAAAAAAGTCGAAAACCTCGAAAAAGTATCGACGCAGGATATTAACGCCTCATCTTTCCCCTCCAACAGCCAGCCAAGGACATAAGGAACCGGAAGAGACACACACACAAGAACATGACACCCCCTCACGGGGTGGGTCCCAGATGATGGCCTTTTGAAGCATCTTCTATTTTCAATCGCACTGAGACTGGCGTCTTTTCACTGTTCAGCCCTTTAGCGCGGTCGATGCTATACAACGAAAACACACTGAAATGCAGCAAACACCACCCGCCTCATGAACCCCGACGGCCGCAACAACCGCGGCAGCAGCTTCATCTGCCCGATGTGCCTCCAAGTTTTCCTCCAAGAACTCCGCCAAGAACTCCGAGGAGAGTTCTTCCTCCGCAGCGATTCTGTTCCCGACGTTCGCGTGGCAGATGCTCATGAGGGTCGGCAAGAGCACTGCTCGATGTCTCGGCTCCGAGAAGTACCTGCGTGTCGATGAGTTCGTCGTATCGGGCAGGGAGAGAGAGGGGGGGGGGGGGGGGGGGGGGGGAAAAAAAAACTTCCCCCCCAACCCCC